AAGAATCACAACTTTGCGATTATCAACTGTCTTGCCCTGCTTGCTCCTGGTTGTAGCAGTTCTCTGTTGCGAATGCGAAAATTTGCAAAAGCTACGGAATTGCGACTGAAGAAATGAGTCATATTTGCACTGAGGCACTTTTGGACAAAAAATGCTCAATGCGAATTGCCAACTATAGATGACGAAAATGTTTCAGCCATGAGCTCCTTCGATCGATTCGACGAGTACAGAAAGTGGAAATACAAATGCAACAATCTTCTTCGAGCGCTTCCAAAGCTCCCGGAGCCGGAGGTTCTCCTGGAGAAGATAGTGGACAGCTGTCGAGATGTTATGTACCAGTGCGCTGTTCTGGATCAGCTACATGATGAGATTCCTTTCTTCTCCCAGACCAACGAGGCTTGGAGGAAATTGGAGCGAGGCGTCCCTCATTGAGCAAAAGGCAAAAAACTGCAAACTCTTGATTTTATTCGTGTTAGTTGTTTGGGCCGTACGAGGCTTATAGGTGGAACATTTATTAGTTCGGCCTAATCGTCGTCTTCTGAGGCCTAAATGCGGTTTGTGGTTAAGACTTGCGTTCTAATCCACCAAGCGCCTTATCTTTCTAGCGGTTCCGACATTCCGTAGGCCCTGCCTTCCACCGATAACACACATTCAAAACGCAATTAATCTCGAACTGCGAACCAAATCAAATGAGCCCAATTGCATATTAAAGAGCACATTCTAATCTATCAAAAGTTACATGACAGCCTTCTACACCGACGACATCAGAAGATTTTCCCACGGAAACATGGTTCACGGTACGAGCTCAACGAGGTCGTCGAGGTACCATAGACCATTACGACGTCCCTGAAACGCTGGTCAAAAGCGGTCTTGCACAGTCACAGCTAGTGTCTCTGGGAAGCTATTCACCAGTTAACCGATTGAAGAAATTATGTAGCAGCTTCAGGCCGGAGCGATTACGGTAAGCCTCGTTGAGCTCGACGGTGACGGCAGATGACGTCATATTCTGAAGACCGTGTGAAGGAGGGGCTGCTTCTGCTTATGGGGGACACCTAAGGAATATTCTGCCGTAAAACATTCATTAACAACGGCATCCTGTGCGACGAAAAATTTGATGATGTGCGCCATGGGCAAAGTGACTCTTTTTTGCCCCCCGTATACGGCGAAAGATCACTTGTTATTGAAGGGCGCTCATCTCGGCCGTTCATTGCTGGATTTCTGGAAGAAATCCAGAATGCTTCCAGTGCTTTTCTCGCAACAATTTCCGTCTCATGCGCCAACACCGTACATTTTATTTCGAATTCAACGCCATTGTGCTCCTCGAACTTATGCCTTCCAAGAGCTGTTGAACGAGTACCGCGTCTCATGCTAGCCAGGTGTTCTTTGATGCGAATGGCTAAAACCCTTCCTGTTTCTCCAATATAGGTTGAGTTACAAGCCCTGGCATTCGATTTGATAAATTACTCCCCTATATGCACAATCTCCTATTTACCGTATGGACAAATAACACAACCGTCTGACACACACTGCTTATCATAGAGCCTGTTTCGCACCAGTTGCCGTCCGATGTTTTCATTGGGAATATTAACCAACTGAACATCGTTCTGCAGCTGTGCTCTTCTAATGCTCCGTTGAATAGCAGTGCTCACTTTGTCAGATATAAAGGGGAGACATAAGGGTAACTTATTTTGACGCGGCACCCCTCTTGGGGAGATATGCTCACTTTGGTGTCTTTGTACCGCATAGCCGTTTGCAATGGCTATTTTCGTAGCTAATTGTCGTGATTCACGTCTTTCAACATCACCAGTGCTCACCCCAGTCGCAGTTCTGAACATATTTCTGACAACAGCGCGTTTGACGGCGATTGGGTGAGCCGACGTAGCGTGAATCAGAATGTTTTTCGAGCTACTTTTGCGGTACCATTTCACATGTGCGATGCCACTGGATATTTGACTTGCGTGTTGAGGTAGGGCAACCAACCGTCGTGAGGTGTTTCGCGAGTGAGCTTGATGTACTGTGACTGTTCATTCATTAGTCGGAAACACTCATCCATTTCGGACTGTGTTGATGTTAATAATGAAACAGTCGTCAATATATCTACAGTACATCAGAGGTAGACGTCAAGCACCGGTTCTTCAATTTTGCTCATGAAACAAACAGCAAGCACCGGTGCTAAGCGTTGACCCATAGTAAGCCCTCTAAAGATTACTCCGGTTCAGCAGACAGAGGAAAACTCTGATAGGAACCATGGATTTCCTCAGGTTGGTCAAGAACATTTGATTGCACATTATTTCGAGCTGTAATTTACGCGCACCCTTATCCTCTACGCTTGATACCAACTCAGAACTAAATAGATAGCGCACTCGTTACAGTACTGACGATTCAGCTGCCA